GACATACTGCCTCACACGCCTGTTCTCACGCATTTGTGAATAAGTTACCCTTTATGTATAGAACTAAACAAATAATGTAATTGAAATACTGTGTAACATTCAGTGCCATAATATCCTGACAACGGGGGTTAATTATTATGACCCGTTGTAAACTCTACTCTGTAATCCTTTTGCGCTACCGCTCACAGGATGAGTGTGGGGTGCACAATAAAGTAGCCGCCGTAAGCGGCAAAATCAAGTCACTCAGATCTATATTCCTTGATGAGAACAATGAACAATGAATTTACAAAAGTCAGGAACTGGGCAACGTGTAATTAACTGCCCCTAAAACATTGTACGCATACAGTATATTTACAATAATGTAAAAAAAAAAAATATGGTACCATTCTCATATGTATTTACTAATCCATATGCTACTAAATGTTATATAATAATTCCTTGAGATAAATGTACAGTATATTATCAGGTACCACATTTACTCTCCAAGATACTGTACGTGTGAGGTGAAGCCTGACCATATAAATCATTATCAAATTATACGTGATTGAGCTTTATCAGTAATAGTAACTATCTCTCTCACCATTGACATGTCAACTCAAAACTGGTGTCTGTAAGTGACGGAGCTAACAGTTCGGCCATAAACTAAACCCGATGCAATTGACTGCGGTTAGTGGGAGGTGGATCCTTCCCACAGTTTCATAGTGGGGTTGTACTTTTGTAGTAAAGTGTTTAACTACAAGCACTTTGTCTCTTCAAACCGTTGTGCCCAGGTGGGTTGTTCCCTGTAGAAAGTAATGTTGCATTATGTTTTCCGAGTAAAGTCGCATTTTCACAAATTAAGTTTGTATGTAACCAATAAAAATCGCTAGTTATTCTACTTGTATTTTATGGAATCCCTTTCTAATTTACTGAAACAAATCTTTGGTTGCTATATAACCTGGACTACGTCTATTTAGTAAGTTTGTCCAAAATATTTATCGTAAAATAATCTATTGTTAAACGCTTTCTTCTTGAGAAATACTGCTCTATCTTTAAATATGATGGCCTTTTCACAACATGATCTACTGCTAATGAACGATGATGAAATTAATGTGCAATTTCTTATTTTTCCAGTCGTTCAAAATACACCTCTTATAAAGAGTGCGAAAAACGAATACGTAGTTTGTTTTTGGTACTGTCTGAGAACACCACCAGAACTAGTAAAATACTAAAAGCCAACCAAGAAATTTGGAAAACTAACCTATGTATGAAATAACCTCTTTGACCTCAGTTAATAGGCCACTACAGTACTAAATATTAACCAGTAGTCTTTCAATTTAACAAGACCAATGTTCAGTCGAAATTAGGGTAAAATGGTCTTGTTTTATAGTGAATTTTAGGATTTTAAGTTTTAGAATCTGTGATTCAGACCATTTGCTTCTATAGCATTTCCGTCCCTCGTAACACCATCTGTGAGGGAGTTACTACACCACGTGATACCCCTCGTAACACCATCTGTGAGGGAGTTACTACACCTCGTGAGGTCCCTCCTAACACCATCTGAGGGAATTGCTACACCACGTGAGGCCCCTCATAACCCCATCTGCGAGGGAATTGCTACACCACGTGATGCCCCTCGTAACACCATCTGTGAGGGAGTTACTACACCACGTGAGGCCCCTCATAACCCCATCTGAGGAAACTACTACACCACGCCAGGTCCCTCGTAACACCATCTGAGGAAACTACTACACCACGTGAGTTCCTAACACCATCTGGGCGGGAGTTGCTACACTACGAGTTTGCTGTTCAACACATACATTAATCTGTATGTTCCTTTCTCTAATGAAGGCTTTTGTTAAACCACCAATGTATGTAATAAGTCATTTATGTCCAATGTATATTTTCAGCCTTCGGGCTGCAGAATTTTTTCAATAAACTGTTTATTATATTTTTGGTATTTGGAAATAAAATTGCTGCACATTATTATTTGTTTTAACATGGGCAGGACTTAGAAGTTAAGGAAAATTCTGCAGTAAAACAACAAAAATAAAACATACTGGTGTTATGATCGCACTAAGCGTGAATTGATTAAAGACCAGATTTGATAGTGGTGCGGGTTTTCCTACATTTTGGAGTCTGTCCGTGCTTGGTAATTGCTAACAGCATGACTAACCGTGCAAAAGGGCTAAAATAATGCACCTATGAGTATCAAGATGTAGGCTGGTCTCGGTGTTGTGGTAAAAGGTTAGGTCCGGTTTTAATGGTTCTACTGACATTTGTAAGTGATAACAGATCTGATGTTCCGACCAGTGGCTGTTGGGGTGGAGGATTCCTTACTTGTTAACGGGTATTGTTTTAACGGTGAGTAGAGATCGTGTGGTATCTAAACCTTTGAACAGACACCCCACTAAAGATATTGAACAATGAGTGTCTTAGTTTGTTTCTATTGCATGTAGTTACTGGTAGTGCTCACAGAAGTGTCAAGGAATTACTGTAGCTAAAATCTCGACTGATTACACATTCAAGGTTTTTGTTTTCTCATTAAGGCAGAACTAAGCTCAAGTAGATAAATCTGAAAACACCTCTTACTTAATGATGGAGGTCATGGGTTTTAAAATTGTTCTGTGGGTGTAACTGGTGTGAGGTCCCCCCAAGAAGTACCACTACACCCACAACTGTCTGCATACATCTTACATTTCCTGTGTATATGACTCTGAATTGTTAGGTTGAGGAAGAAACCGGATTAATTCAAAGGGCATTTATTTTCGGAGGAATAATATTAACAAAACCGACTACAGTTCAGTATTTTTGGTTGCGATTAATTTTCACTACGAACATATACTCAGTTGCTAGTGTGTTATCCAGGTTCTATGAGAGTAAGGCACATGGACCGGACGGAATGTAAAGAAGTGTACTGAAGTTCTGGCCCGTGCTTGCTCACCTCAAGACCCAAACTTTTCCTCCTCCTTGGAAGCATGCCTTGCTTCAGCCCATCCCGAAGAAGGGTGACCATTCTAATCCCTCTAACTATCGCCCCATTGCCCTAATTTCATCACTCCCTAAGATTTTTTTAAACTATCTTGAACTCCCATTTTCGCTGCCACCTTGAACTCCATTCTCTTTTGTCGGATAACCAGTATGGCTTTCGCCAGGCGAGACCTACTAGTGATCTGCTCTCCTACTGCACCCATTTTTGGTCATCCTCTCAGGGATTATGGGGAAAATTTTGTTAGGGCCCTCGACAACTCCAAAGCATTTGACAGGGTATGGCGCAAGTCTTTGCTTTCTAAACTTTCCTCTTATGGTTTCTCTCCCCCACTTTCTCTAATCCTCTTGTGGCTTCTACCTCAGACATCACTTCGCTTACCTACATAATAAAACACATCACCCCTCTCTCTCTCACCTACAAAATAAAACACATCACCTCTCTCTCTCTCTCTCTCCCTCCCTCACCTACATAATAACACACATCACCTCTCTCTCCCTCCCTCACCTACATAATAAAACACATCACCTCTCTCTCTCTCACCTACAAAATAAAACACATCACCTCCCTCTCTCTCTCACCTACATAATAACACACATCACCTCTCTCTCTCTCTCACCTACATAATACAACACATCACCTCTCTCTCTCTCACCTACATAATAAAACACATCACCTCTCTCTCTCTCTCACCTACATAATACAACACATCACTCTCTCACCTACATAATAAAACACATCACCTCTCTCTCTCTCTCACCTACATAATACAACACATCACCTCTCTCTCTCTCACATCACACATACACATCACCTCTCTCTCTCTCACCTACATAATAAAACACATCACCTCTCTCTCCTCACCTACATAATACAACACATCACCTCACCTACATAAACAACATCACTCTCTCTCTCTCACCTACATAATAAACACATCACCTCTCTCTCTCTCACCTACCACATCAATACATACAACACATCACCTCTCTCTCATCTCACCTCTCTCTCTCTCTCTCTCACTCTCTCTCTCTCACCTACATAATACAACTTACATCACCTCTCTCTCTCTCTCTCTCTCACCTACATAAGACAACCTCACCTCTCTCTCTCTCTCTCACCTACATAATACAACACATCACCTCTCTCTCTCTCTACACACATCTCTCTCTCTCTCTCACACCTACATAAAACACATCACCTCTCTCTCCCTCACCTACATAATAAACACATCACCTCTCTCTCTCACACCCACATAATACAACACATCCTCTCTCTCTCTCTCTCTCACCTACATAATAACACACATCACCTCTCTCACACCTACACAGCACATCACCTCTCTCTCTCTCTCTCACAACACACATACTCACCTCTCTCTCTCTCTCTCACCTACATAATAACACACATCACCTCTCTGTCTCTCTCTCTCACCTACATAATAACACACATCACCTCTCTCTCTCTCTCACCCACACCTAATAACACACATCACCTCTCTATCTCTCTCTCACCTACATATAACACACATCACCTCTCTATCTCTCTCTCTCACCTACAATAACACACACACTCACTCTCTCTCTCTCTCACCTACATAATAACACACATCACCTCTCTCTCTCTCTCTCTCACCTACATAATACACATCACCTCTCTCTCTCTCTCTCTCACCTACATAATAACACACATCACCTCTCTCTCTCTCTCTCACCTACATGAACACACATCACCTCTCTATATCTCTCTCTCACCTACATGCACCACATCATCTCTCTCTCTCTCACCTACATAATAACACACTCCTCTCTCTCTCTCACTCTCTCACCTACTCTCTCTCTCTCTCTCTCTCTCTCTCTCTCTCTCTCTCTCCCTACATAATAACACACATCACCTCTCTATCTCTCTCACCTACATAATAACACACATCACCTCTCTCTCTCTCTCTCTCTCACCACCACATACACTCTCTCTCTCTCTCTCTCAACATAATAACTACATCATCTCTCTATCTCTCTCTCCACCCTACATAATAACACACATCACCTCTCTCTCTCTCTCTCTCACCTACACATAATAACACACATCACCTCTCTCTCTCTCTCTCTCTCTCTCTCCACCTACATAATACTTCAATCACCTCTCTCTCTCTCCTCTCTCTCTCTCTCACCTACATAATAACACAAATCACCTCTCTCTCTCTCTCTCTCACCTACATAATAACACACATCACCTCTCTCACCTACAGTACATAACATACTCATATCCTCCTCAATTTTTTTTATTCCTATTTTTTCGCCTCCCAGGCCATTGTGGGTCGATGACCTGTGCCCAGGTGGGCTATTCCCCATAAAAAAAGTACTATGTCTAGTATATCCTCCATAAATTTATACCTGTACAATGATCTCCCAGCACTTCATATACACCAGTACAAAATAGTCACATACTGTACAGCGCAATAATGGCTTATGTATACTATACAATACAGTGTACTCAAAAAAATCAAGCATTTATCATTACTTCATATTACTGTTCTTTAATTTACTTTATTCTCTTTGCCACTCATTGGCTTGTTAGATGCTTGGGCAGTCGATCACGTCTCTGTTAAGCACTTTTAGGAAGTATTGATCGTGTACTGGCTCCAGAATGTGTCTGTGCCAGTGTTGGTCAAGTCTCGTTTTGAATGAACTTTCACTCGGTGCCAACACAATGTTCTCTGGCAGATTGTCCGAAGAGTTTAAAACTCACTCCATAAAAAGTTGCCCCTAACAGTTTTCTGAACTTGTGGCTTCTTCAAATTTTAGTTGTGGCCCCCTAGCAAGGCAGGCTTCCATCAGGTTCATGTATGATCACTTGACTGAATAGTGACCTCCGAGATGTTTATAAATCATATACAATACATCCCAAAGCGCAATCGCTTTATACTACAGTACAATGATCTCTAATATCAAAATACAGTATACGTACTGTATAATCAAAATCTGTACAAATCAAGAATTTACAATAAACTTTCAAGCAAACTTTATATACACTGATACAATATAAGCATCTACAATTATATACAGTACATGTGCCGAGTAGATCACAATGGAGTGAGGGAGACAGTGTGTCAGCCGTGGCCATTCCAGTCCTCCTTGATGAAGTCGGATGCCTTCTCAGCAATCATGAGGGTTGCAGCGTTGGTGTTGCCGGACACGATGATGGGCATGACTGAAGCGTCCACCACCCGCAGCCCAGACACCCTGTGAACCCTGAGGTCATACAGGTCATCATAGGTCACATACATCCTCTGTGGAGCTCATTAAGGTTACCACTAAATTAAATTTCTTTATTGACCTTTTCCTCATAATTAACAGAGCACAAAATACTGCATCACTGAATATTCAACAGCTAAACATCCTCTCTTCCTTCCTACCACCCAACTGTAAATAAGTACTCTTGTTTTGTCCTCTTGAATTTTTATTTCATTATGAAAAAGCTTACGGTAAATAAAATTCAGCGATCAAACATTACACGAGGTATTTAAATGTAAAACTCTGCATGTAGAATACAGCTACCGTATTTACAACTACAGTACTGTATTCTGTTCTGAACATTTTGCTGGATACTGTTGTTAAGTAAAAAGATCTGAGCATTGTGACAGATCATTCAGTGAAGGCAGTTCAACAAGTGGAAACAGCAAACTGAGATTTAAGAATTATTAAGTGTACCTTTGAGTACAAAGATAGATCTACGGAATGGTCTACTGTACTGCGCACATCATTGTCATCCTTAATATCTCTTTTATTCATAGTACGCTACATAACATTCAAATCCACGGTGCTTGTAGTGTCACAAAAAACGGGAAACTTTGGTAAAAGATAATTCACCTACTGTATGTTGTTTTATACAAATTGTACCAAGGTACGGTCATATAATATTAAATGTATGTACTTATAGCACTAAGGAGAACTCAAGGTATCTATAGGATGATTGGGAAGGTCCAATTGATACAAACTAGTACTATACTATAAGGGACAAGTGTAGATCGCGTTTGAAGGTCATACTATTTACGTCTGTGAACGATTAGTGAACATAGTTACCGCAGGTATCAGATAAAAATATAAGAGAACAATGATCTGGAGAAAGGATAAATGTATCAGACCTATGTGAAGTGTTGGAAGTGATCCAGAAACTATACTTCAAAGAAAATATCTTGTATGCCTCGGTGTGACCTTAATACACCTCGTTATCTCATGTGACGAATAACCACGAACAATGCGACGATCAGAGAATCTTATGAAATGTGTTCAACGACTGCAACGTGTGAGGGGAGGATCCCTAAATACAGATCGAAGTGAAGTGGATATACCCACGCCATGAATATACGACGCTAGGCTTTGTCTATGTTGGCGCCCATTCTGCCCCGGGCTACAGTTTTGAGTTATTGATATAGCACAATTAATTTTCCCAGGAACTGGCAAACCAGACACTTATTTCAGTATGTAATTTAGGATTAAGATATATAATTATAAGGCATAAGGTCACAATAGATAGGAAAATGTATATGTGAGAGACAGAATAACATCAAAGTGAAAATTAAAGAGTGGAAACTGTAGGCCATCCTCAGTAATGCCCGCTCTCTCACCAAAACAGGTCAGTGAACTCCATCGTGCTCCATTCAGCCCTAAAAAGACTTACCTAGCAGTTTTTTACATTTTAAAACCTTGCCTGATGTTATAAAGTGAAGCAATAGTTGTACTAGTGTGTGGTGATAAAAGTCCATCAGGCCTTGCTTAGTAAGGCCCGTTCACTCACCAAAACAGGTGCGCACGCGTCCAGAGCGTCGGTCAGGCCACCACAACCACCACTGTGAGGGACTCACCGGGTGTGGTGTGTCTGCTTATGGCCATTATGCACCTCCACTGTGAAACTGGGGATACCCTACATATCACCACCCAGGATAGGAGAAAATAATTGCGTGTTTGAGAAGTTTGGCGGTCGCTACGTGGAGCGACCTAATAATACCAGGCGTAGAACCAGTACTAGTATGATTACCTGGGAAGTATCCCACTCAGCAAGAGTAGAGTGTGAACGAGGTACCTGGTATGTGTATCTCAGAATACCGAGGAGTTCCTTATTTGCAGGTGTGGAGTGTACCCGGGATGTGGTGCTATAATGTAACATGTGATGCTTTTTCAGACCAGACTTGACCAACACTGGAGCAGGTTCAGGTACATTCAGGAGCCGGTGCATGCCCAGTACTTGTCAACAGTGCGTAACAGAGACGCGACCGATCACCCAAGAGGCTAACGAGCCGATCAGTGGTGAAGAGGATAAAAGTAAAAAGGAAATACTAACCTAACGCACCAAGGTAGAAATGTGATTTTTTTTTATACTTTTTTTTTGTTAGTTATCTTGTCTGTTAACATCTATGCATCTGTTTTCTGGGTTTCCAAAGTGATATTTATCCCACAATTATTTTCCACATCCGACAATAGATTACAAAACTGTATACAGTATTTAATTTTGGATCACTTGAAGATTAGACACCCTGCTTATTTCACCTTATGATTAACCACCCTAATGCTAACCTAACCTAACACTCCAAGGTAGCAGAAAAATGCTCAATCTTAAAGTGAAATAAGCTACAGTGTTTAATTTTTAGGTGAGTACGTATTTCTCATGCTTGTACAGAAGGGATGCGAGAACAAGATGTGTCATGGCCAGGAAGGATATGATTGTTAGACTGGGAATTTAGAATACTTGAGTAAAATGTTCATGTGATTGACTGACTGTGTGACAGATAAGTATTTGATGGAATGACTGAATAACTGACTGAGTGAATGACTAAGAATTTGAGCAATAGGAAATTGAGTGTCTGTAGATGACGTAGATAAAGCTAACGAGCTTACCTGAGTCTGGGGTTAACGACTGCAAGGGGGTCAGAGGAGGGTCCCATTTTACACGAGCTGGTGGGGTGCCAAAAGGAGGAGGCCATGTGCTGGACGTAGCAAGCCCAGTACTTGTGGGACCCGAAGGCTTCCCCCTCACACCCAGGCACCGGCTGTAAAATCAACACTTTCACTGTCATACTAGTTCATTGTAACAAATATAAGTTTTCAAAATTCTTCACTCATCATTATCACTAAACTGTACTAGTTTTTCATCGCATCATTAAAGTTCCATAATAAGCATAACCAGAACAATTGGTTCCTATCAATCACCATCACTACCCTAACTATTCCTCACTAACATAAGATTTAAATTTGTCTATCTTGTTATCAATCACCTTCATCGACACTGTCCTCGCTCACCTTCACTTCAAAACACCACACAAATGTTTCTTAAATTACTATGTTTTTATGATATGCTATTATCACCACCATCATTATTGCCCTAAATCAACAACTCTACACAAATGCACATCATTTTACCGATTTATTCATATCTTTAAGTCATTATATCTGTCTGCATATCTCTTACTGTCAAGTTTGTGATAATTCTCGACTGATTACTGTACTCGTGTTATAATTCCAGCTCACATTTATTTGTAAAATATGTACGTTATGTGAATGCTGGTCAATATAGCACATAATCTATGAGAGAGGCAAAGTGGTGGTACAGTAAAGAAGTACAGTGCAGTACCTGTATGGCAATTCCTATAATTAGTGACTAAGTACGTCATATATAACTTGAAAGTTAGTAAATGCGGTGACAGCCCCTGACATCTAACGGTCAAAATCTCAAGCCCATTCATTTTAGTGGAATGCAAATGCATAATATTACTGAAAACAATAGAAATACTCTAATTAATCTTGAGAAATTTTAGTGTTCACAGGGAATAAGTCACAATTAAACAGGAAGAAGTTTATGACAAACTCCAACCTCTGATTTGTCTCAGGAAAAATCACAAATTACCTTATAACTCCACGAGATCACTAAGACAACATAATAAACAGGAACATTAGATTAACTTCTCACCTTATCATGGAACTTGGCCTGGAACTGTTTCCTGAGAGATGTAGTGTTGCCCAGTGCCATCAGCACCTTGATACCTGGTGTGGGGACAATAACACTTAGAGGGGAACGTGTGCAACTATAGCAATCTTTTGGGATCTCGGGGACATTAAAAAAGATCGTGTGAATATTAGGCCCCCAGATTATTTCACCTGGGGCCTAGTTTGGGTTTGGTAAGGTTAGCATTAGGATGTTTCAATCAGGTGAAATAAGCAGGGGTGCCTAATCTTCACATGATCCCATTAAAAGACTAAATACCAATACCATTTCTCTTGGAAGAAGGTAACAGTAATCTATCTCCTGGCTGACATAACTCATAGAATGGATAGGTTTTGACTCTGGAATATTAAACAACATATCCTTTTTCTATTTCCCTTTTTAAAGCTTACTACTGAAAGCAAATAGACACAAACTAAGAATCTTCCTTCATTTGCTGTCATTCAATTCTTCTTATTCTTTTCTGCTCTTGTACTTCCCTTCAAGGCCCTAAATATCTATCTACAGTATCTGGACAACTACTGTCTCTTCACATGACCTAGCAACACCTTACAGTAGAAGGTCCTTCCTAGAAAATAACTAAACACCATGGTCTCCATTCATGCATGCATAATACTGCTTTCTGAATGTCGATTCCACCTTATTTCCATGCACACAGAGTAGACAAAATATCTGTGTGACAAAATTCTATACAGTTTGGTAAAAACAATTTACTCTCTGTGTGACTTTATCCAATGAAGTTTCATATTCCTAGACTTAAAAACAAAATTGGGGATTTACTCCACCTCATATCGGTTGAGTGTACTGTTGTAAATAATTTTCGTCACGTTAAAATTCATCAAATTCCCAACACCTCCATACCCAATGTATCTGTGCATCTTTATAATAACTTTTTCATCTCACAAATATTTACTTTTACCCAGAATAGATTTTCTGTCACACATCATGTTTAAGGCTAATGCTTATATAAAACTGGCTGAAAGACAGGATGCCCACTTTACAGTGAACACACACTCGAGTCAACCAAGTACAGTACAAGTTAATCACATTTTTGTCACCAGATTAATACCATCCTAAGGAGTCCTATGAATTTTAACCCAGGGGTCTTCCACAAACTAGGGCAAAGTACTTTTCATTACCAGGATAATAATATTTGTACTTAGATAATGACATATTTATATAACTCCTTCCTACCTCTAGAATCTGTGGTGTATTCTTGAATAAATTTTAGAGACTTTTTACCGACTTGAAAAATATATTATCCCATTATTCTCTCAGTCGTTGAGTGCATTAATCTATGTTGACTACCTCATCCTGCAGTCCTTTTAACACTAAAGCAACTCTTCCAACAAAATAAAAATGTTAGGGTGAGGTAAAACTTTACATTATGGCCCGGTACTTGCCAACAGTGCATAACAGAGACGTGACCGACCGCCCAAACGGCTAACAAGCCGATCAGTGGCGAAGAGGATAAAAGTAAAGAAGCACTGACCATTGACCAGAGCATGTAGGTCATCCGGGTGACTTAGGTAGTTGGGGTCGATAATGGGGAGATCTAAGGGGTTTCTGGACCTGAGGAACACCGCCCCGCGACTCTTGGGTCTCAGCAGGAACAGATTCACCGTGAACCCTTGATGATTGAACAGTGGACGAGTGTACTCCAAGTATTTCTGCACATATACACACACACATTAAATATATATACTATATATATATATATATATATATATATATATATATATATATATATATATATATATATATATATATATATATATATATGTATATATATATATTACCTGGTATACATACAGTATTATATGATCATACAGCACCAATATTTACAAATATTACATTTACAACATAATACACATAATGTAAATTGTTTTAAAATACAGTAGTGTATGACTTAAAATAAATACAGTACTGTATTTGTATTGAAAAGGGGTTTTTGTTAACTATAGACTGGGTTTGATAAATGAATATTAAATGTTAAACAGCTTTGAATAACTACTGCATGCCAGCAATAATAACAAGGCTATTTTTATTTCCAGGACACTGTATGAATGCCATCACAGCATCACTTGCAAGTCAATTATTACACAACATATTAGCAACCCCTGCATACTGTACTGCACTACTTTAACTCATCATTCTCGCAGTACAGTTCAGTAATATCTCCGTTAGCTGAAACCCCTCAAAATCCCTCAAACCGGGAACTCTCCGATAGCCAGAATTTAAATTTTCTCGGAAATCGTTCCTAAAGCCGGAATTTTCCGGAAATTCTGGCTTTGGGAACAATTTTCGAGGAGCACATTTTCCGGAAAACTCCAAGAAAATTTTCCCGATACCCAAAAAATTCGGGCATGGGGAGTTTTTTCCGGGTTTGAGAGATGAAAATCGGGTGCATTTTCTGGAAATTCCGAGAAAAAATTTCCGTTACCCGTAAAATTCCGGGAACGAGGGATTTTTTCCGGCTTTGAGAGTCGTCTCGTTACCCGGAAATAACTCATTTCTCGAAGTGCTCTGCACAAATTGTTCTCGCTAACGGGGATATCTCTATCACAGGTCATTACTAACATGTCTTCTTAGCTCTGTGTATAGTACCTTTAATATGATGAATTATTACTATTATTCTTGTGATTATCGTGGGTGGGAAGAACTATCCTCTACGTATTAAGACAACAGATTAGCCTTACCGATTTATCAAAGTTGTAGATGTAAGGGAGGAAGAGCCCCATGTCCATGCTAAACACAGCAGGGGAGAGATAAAACTGTACGTCTGGGTAGTACGGGTCGCCATCGTTCCTTGTCTTCACCCAAGCACTGGCGTATTCTCCCACAGGCTTTGTCCACGGTCCTGTAATACATCAACGTATACTTACTCTACAGAATCAGTTGCAAGACAAAACCTCATGTAACCAAACTTATCGAAGCATGTGGAATTTTACACCAAACTACTTTGGGATCACCTGAAGATTAGACCTTCTCAGCTTAATTTCACCTCATGATTATGGCATAAGTTAGATTAGGATAGGTTAGGTTAGGTTAGGTTAGGTTTGCTTCAGGGTAATTAATCTGAACATGGAAAAATCAGAGGGGGGTTATCTTCACGTGAGTCATCGAGAGATTAGCTATATGATTATGTCAATACAGTAACATGTATAAGAAATAACTAGAAAACACACTACTTTAGTTACAAGTCACAAACAACAAATACATTCACAAGTATCATGCTCAACATTACCAACACAATTAAACAAACAGCAACAATGTTTCCATCATCCTCTCCTACAGAATATACAGCCATTATCCCATGAGTGTACTCCCCAGCAGAGACTGACCTTTCCTGTGGTGGACATACTGGGCCACAGCGGGGAAGGTGAAGGTGTTGTCCATGCTAGGAGAGCTGGTCTTGGTGGTCCAGGCTAAGCCATACACCCCCAGATGATCCTGTAGGTTCTGTCCCACGCCAGGTACATCTGCCACCACCTTCACCTGTATACAGTACATGATTGTAGTTAATAATGGTTTTGAGAAGAATATTTTTATACTGTCTGAACAATAAATATGATTCTACTGAAAAGTTTATTAAAAGAAAATGGATACTCAAAATATATTAACATTAAACAACTCTCTCTGTGCATCGTTTGTTAATTAAAAAAAAAAAAATTCACCTCGAAAATAGCAAGGGAAGTACACATGCAACATCAACACACACACACAGTACCTTTGCTGATTAGGTCTGTTCAGAAATTGAGAAATTTCCAAATGACTCCTGAATGTATCTGAACCTGCTCCAGTGTTGACCAGACGTGACCAACACTGGAGCAGGTTCCGATACATTCAGGAACCAGTTCATGCCCAGTACTTGCCAACAGTGTGAAACAGAGACGTAACCGATCGCCCAAGCGGCTAACGAGCTGATCAGTGGTAAAGAGGATAAAAGTAAAAGTATCTGAGTATAATTCTGTGGGTGGAAACAAACGTACGTGCTAATTGTTCGGCAAAAAGGGTATTTCACGCACCAAGTTTTATAATTATTTCTGTGAACGTAATATGCTTTATTAAATCGACTTTAATCACATGGTAAACTTAAGCAAGTTTTACGGTTAATTCAGGTTCACATTAGATATAGATCACGCTTTTTCAATACCCTGTACACAGATAGCCTAGTACGATGATCACTCTACCATTATAAATTCTTGCCTAAGACACACTTATGTTTCTTCCAATACAACAAGCTCATTAAAGTTTCACTACAAGGTCTAACAGATACATTTTGGAGCATCTGTAAGTGTTATTAATCTCCCCTCATAAAGGTCACCAAAACGTAAGTAACGAGTGTGAGACTTACATGGTGTTCATCGAGGTGGTATTGAGCACCTACACCCGACAGCATGAGCAGCTTGGGTGATGCCAGCGCCCCCGCCGACACTATTACCTCCCGCCTGGCACGAGCTGTCAACACCTGTAACACACACACACACACACCCCATCAAGACAACTTCCACCGTGAAGGTTACCCACAACATATTATGTAGCATCCTGCAAGAAGGAAGGCACATGCATGTATTTGTATACAGTATTTTCAGATGATCAACTTGATCAAGTCTGATCATGATCTTAAACTACAGACAAACTTTTTAATTGCATAATGGTAATTCTAGAATATGTCCATTTTTATTGTTAACATATCTTGAGCTTCAAAGCATCTCATCAGTGAAGCTTGATACTGTACTTTTGTTTAATCCAGAATGTCACACATGCATGTCAGCCACTAAACCACCACACTGCCCCTTCACTTTCACATGAACCTGGAACTGTCAAGTCATCACTTGGCCGTCTTGGCAAGCCCTTATTCCAATCACTAACTGAAAATGGTCAATCTTTCATCATAAATTGTCAGGTAGAGCTACTAATGTCCAATCTGTGTTGATTCTCTTCAAACTAAAGTTTCCCTGTGAGACGGGGGTCTACCTCCCTTTCTCTCTAACATGCACGCACGCACGCACGCACGCACACACACACACACACACGCACGCACACACACACACACACACACACCTGCATCTCTCTTTCTCTCTCACACGAATAAGAAGCAAAATGCAGATCTGCAGCATATTCACATATGCAACCTCACCTAATTTTATTCAGTAATTTAATCTCCTAGTACAGTGTATTTGCAAAGAAAATTTTCCGTTCCCCACTCTGATACAAAGTCAAGTGTTGAACCAGGGAAGGTTTAAGTTCTGAAATACATACATCCGAAGGTCTGTAATATGTAATACTGTACTGTAATCGAGGCCCTGTAGCCAAAATAACATCCTAGGCCCAGTTATTTGTAATATGTCTGTGGCTTTATTAATCATAATACAGTAGGTTTCAGGCTCTATAATCTGTAATAAGTTTAAAGCTCTGTAATCTGGAACAGTAGGAGGTTATATAAAATGTAATGACTAATGCTCTGTCATTTGTAATTACTTTAACACTCTGTACTCTATAATAACTTAAGTCAATAATTTGCAATAAATCCAATGACTATAATCTATCCCAAATCCTAAAGCTCTATAATCTACGGTAACTCTAGGGCTCGGTGAGGTGCATGAAGTCACGATAAGACTCACCTGGCCTCTGTACCTGTAGACAACTCCAGTCGCCCTCTTGTTCTTGTTAAAGAGGATCTGCCAACAGGAACAACAAGGTTAGTTTACACCTTCAATATACTGTATAATATAACTTATCGCTCCCTACCCCTAGTTAGCGTTAGGGGGATTAATCATCAGGTGAAAGAAGCTTGGGGACTAAACTTCAGGTGATTCCTCAATTCTTTCATTAACCTCTTGTAGGGCAGCGATGCACTAAGGTATTGTATTCTGGCTAACACTACTCCAAATGATTTTACTCAGCTCAGAGAAACCCTTGCCTTCTATAGGGTTAATTCACAAAGATATGCTCCATTTTCTGACTGAATTATGACCACGACACTTATGACCTACCTTGAGGACGGTGGCACTGTGCAGGATGTGCAGGTTGGGGCGGGAGGCTGCAGGTCTGAGGTAGGCCCAGGCTGTGGAACATCTAATTCCCCCACACACTGTATAGTCTGTTGTAGCAAATCCTGCAAGGGAAATATTTTTTTTTCTCTCTTAATACTGTATATGTCACCAAGAATTAGACTGTCATATGAGAATTTCTGCAGTATATACAGTACCACCAAGAACCACGCTATATTCACATTTCTGAAGCTACAAAACACTGGGTGAGAGACAAGCCACTGAAGGCTGTAAGATGAGGAAGAGGACGAGAGTGATTCATAAATTTAGCTCAGTGTTCAGTTAAATCAACACACACACACACACACACACACACACACACACACGAACTGATCGCTATAAGAACAGCCCAGTCACAACCATTGTAAAAATTATCAATAACTTGTAATCAACCAGTGTATACACTCCCAGTAAATCTTACTTTTTCCACTGTCACTACAGTACAGTATATTGAAATGCCCTGAAGGTTGAGCTTCTCCCCACCTAGTTATTATATATCATATTTGTATCACTTATGTTTCTCGTTTATTTTTTGTAAATCAAGAGACCCATTCCCCAATAACGTAACTGTAAATTTTCAGCCTACCGGCTGCCATGCTCTTTCAATAAACCGTTAATTATTATTACATACATACATATGTGTGTGTGTGTGTGTGGTAACTAATTTAGGATTACGTGTATGCATATATATATATATATATATATATATATATATATATATATATATATATATATATATATATATATATATATATATATATATATATAGTTACCACACACACACAGAGTTCTGCCTGCTAACCACGATCATTACACCCATGCATGACCACATTCGTCTCTTCATTCTATATGACGTCGCAGAATGAGTTATTATGCACCGTGAAGTTCTATCAAGTGCAATAGGACGTACACTAATGACAATACTCTCGACAGATACAGATTAACTGAGGATATAAGTACGTATTTAGGGAAGGAGAGGTGTTCTGGCGTAACAGAATCCAGTATTGTAACGTTGTTCTGGTAAACTTATGCACGGGGTCCTTGTTCATGTAGGACGTGACGTTTATATATATACTGTATATATATATATATATATATATATATATATATATATATATATATATATATATATATATATATATATATATGCAAGTAAATCACTGTAGGTGCAAGGTCTAGGTATATGCTGATAACCAAGGAATTGTGGTTATCAGCATATATATATATATATATATATATATATATATATATATATATATATATATATATATATATATATATATATATATATAAAAGACAGCAAGTAAATATGACACCAATAACCTTCCCTGAACTGTTTACTCTCTCTCTCTCTCTCTCTCTCTGAATAAACATCAAACATCTTGCCATTTCCCACAGTAGATATATAAGCAGCGGCAACACTTACCCACAAACACTTAGCTGGGTCACCTGCTTCACCCACACAATATTAACTTCAAGAGACGGCAAGTTGGTGTCACGACCGAACAAGTTGACCATCACTGTCATTAGGTTAGTGCCCATGAGAGTGTGGAGGATGATGGTGCAGGTGTGAGGTTGATGGTGCAGGTGTGGGGTTAATGGTACAGGTGTGGGGTTGGTGGTACAGGTGTGGGGATGAGGTTACAGGTGTGGGGATGAGGTTACAGGTGTGGGGATGAGGTTACAGGTGTGGGGGTCGAGGTTACAGATGTGGGGTTTGAGGCTACAGATGTGGGGGTTGAGGCTATGATGTGGTGGTTGAGGTTACAGGTGTGTGGGGGTCGAGGTTACAGACGTGGGGTTGGAGGCTACAGATGTGGTGGTTGAGGTTACAGATGTGGGGGTCGAGGTTACAGATGTGGGGGTCGAGGTTACAGATGTACAGGATGTGGGGGTTGAGGTTACAGATGTGGGGGTCGAGGTTACAGATGTGGGGGTCGAGGTTACAGATGTGGGGGTCGAGGTTACAGATGTGGGGGTCGAGGTTACAGATGTGGGGGTTGAGGTTACAGATGTGGGGGTCGAGGTTACAGATGTGGGGGTTGAGGTTACAGATGTGGGGGTTGAGGCTACAGACGTGGGGGTTGAGGTTACAGATGTGGGGGTCGAGGTTATAGTTGTGGGGGTTGAGGCTACAGATGTGGGGTTGAGGCTACAGATGTGGGGGTCGAGAATACGGGTGTATGAAACTCACCCATCTGCTCTTCACCGTTGGGGTCGCGGACATCGTAGCCCAACTGAAGGCCACCGTGCAGGAAGGCCCTCGCCAGCTTGCCAGTTTTTCCTTCAGGAGTAACACCAATAGGTCCTCCCCTCCCGTGGTATTCCTCTATGACGAAAATTTACACCGTTACTCATAAAATCTTCCATAATTGTCTCAAAGTTATTCTTGTGTAGGAAATATGATTGTTGAACGTGCTTAAAGACCTTGGCAGTTGAAATACCTCAATAAATAATGACATTATCATCAGTTTATACGTGTAGAGAACCTTTGTAATTACTGTACTCGAAAATGGTGGTCACAAGATATATATAGTACACTACAGGCAGATAGATACATATAGACAATAAAGTCCTTAAGAGAACCTTGTGTGTATATACTGGTCGTATGATATATAGACATATAGATTGATATAGACAACAATGGATATAAGAATCTTTGTGTAAGTCATTACTGGTAAAGACGATGTGATTTTTCTAAGATTACCCACAAGCTAACACCTGATACGAGACAAACTGCGTGACGAGGGCACAAATGTTCTTCATAAGTTACTGAATACATAAAACGATTCAGACTTTTAAAAATTAATATGTAAAATTTTCCTTTACTGGTGCAACTTGGGCACCATTTTGAGCCACTTAGGGTAAGAATCTCACGAAGGCTCCTCAAGATCTGGAAAAAATAATCTACATTATAGTTTTGGTGGGATAGTGGAGTCAAAGGTAAACATGACTCACCAGCCTCTGGCGTCTTGTGACCTTGATAGTCCTCGAATTTCTTGAAGTAATAGAGGACGCTCTGATAGTCCCAGCTGGGGTTACCCAGGGCAGCCCAATGGTCGAAGTCTCGTCTGTTACCACGGACGTACAGCATCCCATTGGTGGTGGATCCCCCGCCCAACACCCGCGCGTGGGGGATGGTGGCGCTCTGCCCAATAAACACAGTCCAGACGTTAGTGTAAAGATAGGTGTACAATTTTGATCACAAAAAATACTGTAGAAAAGTTGATCTGAGTACATTACAGTACTGTTATTATAGCAATACAAAATAATAATATCTCACCTGAAGATTAGGCATCCCAGTTTATTTGCCTTGTTGATTAAACACCCGAATGCAATCTGGGAGATTAAATTAGCTCAAGTTACCCAGTAATCTAGTTCAGGTTAACATTAAGGTGTTTAATCATCAGCTGAAATAAACTAGTGTGTCCAATCTTCAGATGAACACTGTATTGGCAGTGTAAATCTCAATTATAAGGAGCTTATTTATAGTGTAAATCTTAACGACATGAATATCCATCCATGAACGATAAAAACTTACTGTAGTACTATATCATAATATAAAACACAGAAGATGCATAAAAGTCCTGCCTTCTGCTCTTTCACGTAAACATTACCCACGTTACTAGTACGATGGCTGACGTGTAACCAGACCGGGCACCAGAGAGTTACTCATTAAGCGTTTCTCTATTTTTAAATTTTCATTTTCTATTTATCAATTTTTATCCATCATGCACTGTGTAAGTAGCATTTTTGGGGGGGTGGGGGGTGGGTGGAGGTATTGATGACGGGGAAGTGAAGATGGCAACAGTAAGTGTCGAAGGGGAGAAAGTATGCTTTTACACCCAGCATGGTCTAAGCTGCTTTGTATATCTGTGCTGTCTTATGTACAGTCACGGAAACTTCCTGTCAATCTTCCATCCCATCAATGAAACCTCAGACTTATGAACCTGTGAATCCGAGACAACATACAACCCAGTGGGCCCAACAATGTATCATGTCTCGGATTCGCAGGTTTATGAGTTTCAGGTCAGAGAGCTGACAGGACTTCATTCCGTGACTGTACATTGTATACCTGCACTGTGTATATTGTATACCTGCACAATGACTTGGTGTATGATGTAGAAAGCAAAATGTAATATAACAACTCACAACATTTTACTTCTGACGAACAAGTGCTGAACAGAACCTCTTTATACCAGAGAACGAGGGTAGGGTGATGACAGACGTGAGTAAATGATGCAAAAAGAGGTAAAACGCATGAGTAGGTCTGTAAGTATGATATCGAGTTATTTTGGGAGCTTCAGAAACTAACAGAGCAACACGAATGATTTGCATATTTAAAGGAGTCCAGTAAGTTGAAGTATGGGTAATGGTAATTCACATACCAGGCGGTCAGTGTTTGGTCAAGCAATCACGGGAAATGGTTATGTCATCTGAAGACCTTCAATTAAGCTCTGGTGAGAATTACCAGGGTTGGACGTCATGATTCATGGATTGCTTGTCATACTGTAGGTGAGCAAACCAACAAGATTTAGACGGGATTTATTGGTGATATGTTAATATAGGAGCAACGAGGAGCAATACTTGGTCATAGGAAGTGAAAGATGCTGGTTCAAGGGAAGATAAACAATATAAATGTATTTAAGCTATAGACTGTATAGATGTAGTGTAGGTTTGTCCGAGAGGTGTTTGATGGGGCATGTGAGACAGCTGTAATAATTCTGGCTTTTGGCGCAAGTCGTCACACACCGGGAAGATGTCGATTCGCTGCATTATCAACCAAGGAAAGGTTGTGCTTCCTTAAGCATATTCTTGACACTGCGCACAGCAACGTGAAAATGCACAATGATCTTTAAGAGGTGAGAGTTGTCGCTGCTACTGGCCACCATACTGAGGAGGATAACCTGCAGCAGACAACACCTTCCTGTGGGCACCTTAGGTCGTGTTACCTTATTACTCATACTTCCCCAAGATGGTCTGGTCACACAAGAAGAATGTCGCCAACAAGAAACCTGAACCGGATACTTGATATGAATCCACCCGTTGGCAGACCCAGAACGAGGTGGAATGGCGGAATTAACAAGATAGTGACCATACCAGGTAAGGAGTTGAAAGCAGCTGCGTGGAGAAGACAGTCAAGAGGCTCCTAATACACACGTACTACCTGGCGTCTGAATGACAAGGTAAGACCCAGATACCTTGAATTTGCCTGTTAAGCGGTGGTACAGTATGTCGCACACTACAACTATTCCATGACTTAAAAATAGACAAAGTCAACAATGCTTATCTTGAGGTACAGTATATCATAAAATTCAAGTCACTGTTCCTTGACGTTTCTCAGTGACTTGTGTAAGAAAATGATGGAAGCACACACACACACACACACACACACACACACACACACACACACACACACACACACACACACACACACACACCTCTGTCAACAGGCGAAGATACTAACACATGGTAGTCATCACTCACACCACTCAAGGGGATCATTAAGACACACTCACTGTCAGGAACGTTCAAAATACAATACGTCATGGTGACTGAGCGAAACCCTTAACGCCCACCAAGTCATTAACTTAATCCCCACCCCATTAGGCTCGAGTGGTCATAAACTGCAGATGTTCCGAGACTGAGGTAGTATTATACGATGGTGGTTACATACGTCTAATTCCTCAACCACAATGACTTTACGTGAACTGGACGTGCAGGGAGGGAATGTGTGATTGTTTTTTGGGAGGGTATATAACGGGTTGAGAGGACGGCAGGTAACAGCAGTAGAACACGCGGCCAATATACCGCTCCATCGCGTCCATAACTCACCAGGTTAATGATCCCCGTCCAGGTTATCTTGGAAACCTGGCCCTCTCCTTCCGCCACAGTACATTCATGCATTCTCAGAGTAGTGTTATACCTTCCCATAGCTGATGGTTATGAGGACGTGGCTTGCTTGCTTCTGGAATTCTAATGCCAATGTGGAAACTGTCATTGTATCGTTAAACGTTAGCCCAACCAAACCAAACCTTAATCTAACCTTGTCCTATCCGAACCAAACCTAATCAAATCTTAACCTGACCAAATCCAATTTAAGCCATTTAAAAGATGACTCCCTATACCATGACTTTTCCCCCAGTAAAAAATCCCGATACTTTTTTCTGACCCTTTTTTTTTTATCCCCGTAACTTTTTTCCCCTGCTATTTTTTTCCCCTAGACACCGTTTAAACAACTAACCTCCCCCTAACACTTACCCGATCCTGGAAGTTCTTGAGTCCGTGTTTCTGGGGGACGGTAGTGTAGCCCCAGTTGATGTTGCCCCGGAGATAGTTGAGACCCACCAGACCGGGGACATAGGTCTCTGGGGGCGGGGTACCTCCAGCCTCCAGCAACAGCACCCTCCAGCCTGCCACTTCAGACAGTCTGGAGGCCACCACACTGCCTGCCGTTCCTGCACCCACTGAAGACAAAGACCAGTTATGTAGTTTTTTTGGGGGTGGGGGTGGGTTAGTATTATAAACACCTTTCCTGAATGACTAACTGACCAACTGACTGACCGACAAACTAAGTGACTAACTGGCGAATAGATTGATGAACTGACTGACTGACATACTAAGTGACTGTGTGATTGACTGAATGACCTACCGACTGACTGACTAAATAAATTCTTCCTCCTACCCAGCTACCTCCCTATTAGCTTCCAGGACGCTCATGGTCAAGTGACACTGCTAGACATATGAGTATCTAACCAAGGAGAGATAAGGAGGGACACGAAAGCCTATAAATAAATGCAAAGAGACACACACACAAAGGTAGAGACATAACCAGAAGGAAACACAAGAGACAGGGAAGGGAAAAAAAAAACTTGACAAAGGCAGAATGATGAGGCAGAGACTGAGTGACTGAGAAAAAGACTGATAGATGTGAGAACAGCAGCAGCAGCAGCATGAGCCACCTCCGCAGCCCGTCACACTCACCCACAATAAAGTCGTAGTAATGGTTGAAGGCTTCAGGTCTGGTGAAAAGTTGGTCAGCGTGGCGGGACTCCCTCATGATGGACACCAGGACGAGACGCAACAGAGGCAGCAGCGTCACCACCGTCAGCGTCGTCGGCAGGAAAGTGAACATGTTGAAGCTCATCTTGTTTGGTAGAGAGGGTGATGGACTTTCCCTCTAAGTCGACACTTCCTCCTTCGCCCTGGACCGAGAATAGGTTCAGCTTTACCTCGTCCTCAAGCTTGAAGGCATTGACAGGTGGACGTTCCCTTCATATATACACAAGGCTTCACTAAAGCTTTCGTTGTAGCATCATATACAGGCATTAAAGTCGTTTATATAGGCCATTGCAGGTGTTAAATCCTTTGTGATGGCATGACAAAGTCGTTTATAGTCTTTGTTATATTATTTGCTATCCCACAATATCATGTCAGAATATTCCTTACGGCAAACACTGACTAATGATCTTCACAAAACCAAGTTCTAGATTAAGTTCGTTCCTTATATCAAGTTCTTTAAGGGTTTTTCTTCCGGGTTGATCAAGGTGTAGCAATTCTGACGTTAGCAAATTGTTACCTAATTCTGGTTAGATAAAATTCTTGATATTAGCCTTAGCTTTAAGTAAATCCCGTCAGAATTATGTCTACTAAATTCTGGTGTTTATAGTTATGACTAGAGCAGATTGTATCCTCCAATACTGGCTTGAAGCAAACTCGGAGTCATACAGTCTTGGCTTGAACGAATTCACCTGCACTTTACACCAAAAATTCCCAATGTCATTTGAAATTTGATGTTCCTGTCTCTTCCTCCTCCTTCGTCGGACGTTTCTATCTCTTCCTCCTTCTTCGTCGGACGTTTCTACCTCTTCCTCCTCCTTCGTCGGACGTTTCTATCTCTTCCTCCTCCTTCGTCGGACGTTTCTATCTCTTCCTCCTCCTTCGTCGGACGTTTCTATCTCTTCCTCCTCCTTCGTCGGACGTTTCTACCTCTTCCTCCTCCTTCGTCGGACGTTTCTATCTCTTCCTCCTCCTTCGTCGGACGTTTCTACCTCTTCCTCCTCCTTCGTCGGACGTTTCTATCTCTTCCTCCTCCTTCGTCGGACGTTTCTATCTCTTCCTCCTCCTTCGTCGGACGTTTCTATCTCTTCCTCCTCCTTCGTCGGACGTTTCTATCTCTTCCTCCTCCTTCGTCAGTCTGAAACCCAATGCAGAGGAGGAAACTTGGATCAAAATCAAAGTGCGGCGGAAGAAATAATATATCACAATTAAAAGGTATCGGTAATGTTATAAACTACAGTACATTAAACAAAATAACTTTAAAAGGATATTTTACCTCAGAACTTTTTTTTTTAGGAATTATATGATGGAATGACAGATCGCTTATGTTCTTTCTGGTTTGTTTTTAAAGTTAACACTCGACAGATCACATTATTGTACAGTTAATAGTCCCTTCCCAGTTCTCAAGGTAAATCACTCACACCACCATTTTGTTGCCATAAACTATAGATCAGGGAGAACCTATAGTAAATGATTCACACACAAGTCATGACGTTCTGTGTACCTAAAAAAAAATCTAGATGAAAATACTACAGGTACATAATTATAGACCAACTCATAAGACCAATTCACGCCCGACGTCAACTACACCACCTCCTCCCCTGTAACACTCTCGCGGTAGATGATGACCCTGCAGGTTCCTTCGGCAGTAGCGATGGGAGATGATGCGAGACTAACTTCCCATTTGTCTTACGAACGAGCAACGAGTATAACTGTACACCACCTCACTACATTTAGCACCGTCACTACGTGTACTGTATATTGAAATGTACTGTAGATCTCTGACGTCACCTACAGCACGATGATTGGATGGTGACAAGTGACGTGTATCAACTATGAACCCATGACGTCAGCCTCATATTTACACCAACACCTCCCCTAATGCCCACACACACCACCTTGACATACACACCGACTCTCAGGTGCTTGTCTGTGTGCCTCGTCTGTCGGGGGTAAACACCTTCAGGAGACGATGGGCGGCCTTAGGTGAGGATGGAATCAATTACCCCAAGAGCTGAGACTAGCGACCCACACACTCAGCGGACCATCTCACAGTACGGGTGAGATATTAACAGCGATCACGTGTTAATGTTTTTACCTGTTGATGTTTTTTTTTTTTGCTGTTATGTGATGTATGGCGAGTAATGTTAACAATGGCGAGGGATGTAAATAATGGCTAATGATGTTAATTGCTCGCCAGATGGTTATAATATCAAAATATAACGAAGAACTTGCCATGATTATAACAAAATTGTATTGCCTTGGAAAAGTGTTCAAGAATAAGAAAAGTCGAAGGAATTAAGAAGAATAAGAAGACGAACAACAACAAGAGAAGAAAAACAAGAAAAAATAAGGAAAAGAACAAGAAAAAAAGACGATGACGTTAAGACAATTGGGGCAGCAGTGTCCTGAGGCGGGGCGGGGCGGGGCGGGGCAGAGGATGACATTACGAAAGGAAAGTATTCGGAGCGTAGCGATTTTTAACTGTGTGTGTGTGTGTGTGTGTGTGTGTGTGTTAACCCCCTGAGAAACATGTATTGGTTCAGCTCCTCCAGGTGACAGATTCTAATCCTCCTGTTTCCATACCGCCTCTACTTTATCTCTAGTTTCCTCTCTTATTCTATTCTCTTATCATTTTCCTTCTCTATTTTCTTTCTCAATTTCTCATTTTTATCAATTTCCCTCCCTTCTATTTTCTCCATCAATTTCCATCCATCCATCTATCTATCTATCTATCTATCTATCTATCCCTCTTCCTCTCCTCCTCTATTCTTTCTTCTACGTTCTTCATTCTTTTTAATTCTTTCTAATCGTTTCATTATATTTAATTCCTTTCATTCAATCTATTTCATTCTTTTCTTTCAACTTATTATCTTTTTATTTCATTCAATTATTAGTATTACTTGATTTACGATAACTGCAAACAAACACATTACGATAACTTCTACATAAAAACACACTACGATAACTTATGACGGACATACGTACATCATGATAACTTAAGACAAACAAACGCTACGGTAACCTGGTACAAACACACGGCATAATAACCTAAACAAACACACACAAACAAGTCACAAACACACACCAAAGATATACAACACACACACACACACACACACACACACACACACACACACACACACACACACGTACGTTCGCAAACACACAAATCAGACACAATCACAAGCCAATCCATGACAAATAATTTACAAACACACCTACCCATGATAAACAAACACAAAACATACAAACAAAAGCATAAATCCACAATGAAACAAAACATTACACACACACACACACACACACACACACACACAGACACACTTTAAACTGATATCAAGTACAGAACATTTAGACATACGAGTAGTTAACCAGGCTCTCTTGACTACCCTTCAGTAGAGTATTATTTATATGTACCTGTATTAAAACCACAACTATTCCGCTATGGTAAGACGCACACACACGAGTTGGTCCATCTATCGACCGAGAACAAAGTCAATCGAGTTATCAGATATTTTCAATGTACTTGTGAATGGTGTCTGGTTACCTGTAAAATCCTCCCATCTAAACTTGAGTTATTGCGAGGACACCATTTTCGACGGACGGACGGACGGACGGAACGCACCACGATGATCAAAACACAATGCACGTTTTCCTCCCCTCCCCCCTTCATAACATTATCACAAACACCTTATTATACACCCCGAAAAAGCACTAACTAGGCAAAGGAAGGACACCCAAGCCATCCCTCATTCCCCCAGCAGAAGAGGCAAGAAGTAAATCTGGTACAACTCGTGTGAACAAGGAGATTGAATGAGCAATACCTGGCGACGTGTTGCTACCCTTACGTACAACACTCGGTAGCCAAAGAGAGAGAGAGAGAGAGGAGCACCCTAGCAGTAAGCGGGCTGAGTAAGGACTGTGGGAGGAGAGCGCGTGAAGAGAGCAAAGTCAGCACCAGCCTAACCCGGCCATGGTGACACCCCCCCATCCATCTCACACCTTGGTCCTCCTGTCTCCTTCTCGTTCTGTTTAACTTCAACAAAAATGTTACGGATATATAGGATCACCTCACCTCTTCCCCCCCACCCAAGATTATTTCACATGAAGATAAACCACCTAATCAAACCAAATGCTAATCCAACCAACATAAACAAGGACTAAATTGATCTAACCAAATGCTAATCTAACCTAACCAAAGGCTATCCTAACCTCACCTGATCTAACCCCCTCAGGTAGCATTACGGTGGTTGATCTTCAGGTGAGATAAGCGGGATTTTTCAGGCTATGTGGGATACATTTGGGAGAGTAATGATGAACGAGAGTAATGGGACTAATAGGGGGTAGATAGGGGTGAGTGAGGGGCTAGAAGGGTGAGTGAGGGGCTAGAAGAGGAGGGGCTAGAAGGGTGAGTGGGAGGCTGAGAAGGGTGAGTGAGGGGCTAGAAGGGTAAGTGAGGGGCTAGAAGGGTGAGTGGGAGGGGGCTAGAAGGGTGAGTGAGGGCGAAGGTGAGTGAGGGGCTGAAGGTGGAGTGAGGGGCTAGAAGGGTGAGTGAGGGTAGGGGCCAGGGAAGGATGAGTGAGGGGCTAGAAGGGGTGAGTGAGGGGCTAGAAGGATGAGTGAGGGGCTAGGAAGGGTTGAGTGAGGGGCTGAAGGATGAGAGGGGCTAGAAGGGTGAGTGAGGGGCTAGAAGGGTGAGGGGCTGAGGGGCTGGGGAAGGTGAGTGAGGGGCTAGAAGGATGTGTGAGGGGGCTAGAAGGGTGAGTGAGGGGCTAGAAGGGTGAGTGAGGGGCTAGGAAGGTGAGTGAGGGGCTAGAAGGGTGGTGAGGGGCTAGAAGGGGTGAGTGAGGGCTAGAAGGGTGGGTGAGGGGCTAGAAGGGTGAGTGAGGGGCTAGAAGGGGGTGTGAGGCTAGAAGATGAGGGGCTAGAAGGGTGAGTGAGGGGCTAGAAGGATGAGGAGGGCTAGAAGGGTGAGTGAGGGGCTAGAAGGATGAGTGAGGGGCAAGAGGTGAGTGAGGGGCTAGAAGGATGAGTGAGGGGCTAGAAGGGTGAGTGAGGGGCCAGAAGGGTGAGTGAGGGCCAGAAGGGGTGAGGAGGGGCTAGGGGGGTGAGGAGGGGCTAGAAGGATGAGTGAGGGCTAGAAGGGTTAGTGAGGGGCTAGAAGGGTGAGTGAGGGGCGAGAAGGGGTGGAGAGAACGGATTGTGGTGGAGGGAAACACTACATTTCGTTAACAAGTGTGATAATCAATTAACCATACAATCGGCATTTCCCTCTCTCTCTCTCCCTTCCTCTCATCTCTCTCTCTTTCCCTCACCCTCCCTCCCTTCTTCCCTTCCTTCACTACCCTCTCTTATCTCCATCTTTCTTTCCATCCCTCTATATTCCCTTCTCTACCTCCACCAACCCTTCACAGTCTTGATACGTAACTTAGAACCAAGACAATAATACTGTGTGTGTGTCTGTCTGTCTGTCTGTCTGTCTGTCTGTGTGTGTGAGAGAGAGAGAGAGAGAGAGAAACAACAAGATGACAGACGTAGTGAACAGCACACATCTTGAAAATTCGCATTACCACCGCAACTGGAGTGACGAAAGCATTGGAAATTTTCACACACACACACACACACAGACAGACAGACAGACAGACAGACAGACAGAAAGACAAACAGACAGACAGACACACACACATGGAGCGTCATATACCTAGAAGCTCTGTCTGGCAAGTGTCTTAAGCCCAGAAGCGCCGCTGCAGATGTTACCAGTCATCTGATGAAAATTCATACA